GCCTTGGATGTGTCATGGACAGGGGGCATCTTGTAGGCCTCAGACTTCTGATCAGAGAAAAGGCTGTCCTGAAGATATTTGATATCTGCACAGCACTAGTGTTTAGTTTGTCAATCCCCCTAGAACTGGCACCATTGTCTCCAGGTGGAAACAGAGATTGAATGTCCTCAAAAGGGCAAGAATCCCCTCATATTTTAGAGTGAATAGGAAGGGACTTGAGTTTTCCACTGCCCCAGCAATCAGACCCTACTGTTATTTTGGCTTTTGGAAATAATTATATGTATTTGTGCAGAGTAGGGGCTATCCAATTTATTGAACTGAATATCACATGTATGATTATGATTGTGGGCAGGTGGCATATGTGTGCATTTGGTGCAAAGCAGCTCATGGCCCTCAAAGACTGAGTACTGGCTTTGGAGACCAGAGTGGCTGAACTGGAGGAGATAAGGGAGACAGAGAGATACATAGATGAGACTTTCCGGGACACAGTAGAGCATTCCCACCACCAGTCTGACAGCTTCTGTGCTTTTGAGGAGGATAAAAGTCTCAGGGAAGAAGACCATCAAACTGGAGCAGAAGGAAATGATCCCATAGTTAGGACCCTCTTTCCAGACGTCATGGTATTCTCTCACATTGAGGATACCCCCCGAGGGAGAGGATCCCAGTTATCAGGAAGAGACAGGTAATATAAATGGGGGATTAAATTTCTAGAAATAGAGATGACTGGGAGAACCTGCATGGTGAATTGCCTACTGGGTGTGAAGGATGCGGCTCTCTCAAGACATCTAAACAGACTTGTGTGCAGTGCTAGGGGTCGTAATATGTGTACGTACAAGTGACATTTGGAAAGATCAGAGTGAGGTCCTGGAGGCCAAATTTAGGCTTCTAGATAAGAGATGAAAGTCCAGGACCTCCATTGTAACCATCTCTGAAATGCTTCCAGTTCCATGTGCAGGCCAGTTAGGCAGAACTACAGGGTCTCAATGTGTGGATGAGACAATGGTGTCGGGAGAAGGGTTTTAGGTTAATTAGGAACTGGGGAACCTTTTCGGAAAGGACGACCCTATATAGGAAGGATGGGTTCCACCTAAACCAAAACGAACCAGATTTCTGGCATGTAAAATTAAAAAGGTAGTAGAGAAGTTTTTAAACTTAAGAGGTGGGGAAAAGCTGACAGTTAGGGAGGAGCACACAGTTTGGACAGAGACATCCCATAAGGGAGGATCTCTTAACAGGCATTCTCTATATCCTAATAAAGAGGAGAGGATAGAAGTTTATAAAGTACAAGTAGGAGCTAAAGATAAACAGTCAAATGAAAGAGAGTCCCATTCAGTTACATCACGTGAAGGCAGACAAGTAAATATTGACAAATTTTGTAAATGTTTGTATACAAATGCTAATGCCAAGAGATCAGTCACATAGCCAGGTCAATGTATAACTCAGATCTTACCCAATAATCATGCTGTTGCCAATCCTTTAATATCTAATATCTAAAGGTTTATTTATAAGAGAAAAGAAAGAGGAGAGATTTAAAAGGGTTAAGGAAGTCATATACATACAATCATTGCAAAGCTCTTGGATGAGGTTTGTAGCAATGATGTTGTAGCAAAGACGGCTGGCTTGTAACATCTCTGGTAACTTCCAAAAGATTGGAAAGTCCTCATTCCATAGTCAATATGCTTCTTTTAGCGTAAGTCCATAGTCCAGAGATCAGAGCAGGAAAGAGGCAAAATGGAGATGCTTCCAGGGTCTTATATACCTTCTCCCATGTGGAGGGAATTTCACTGTCCCAAACACAGCTCTCAGCCAGGGGTGGAAGTAACTTAAAGGATTTACCAGTACTCCAGAGTCCTGAGCAGGGAGCGTAGCCTCAACCCGAAGAGGCGGGCCCTTTAAATCAAGATTTAAAGACCCCAGGGCTCCGGCTGTGAATGGAAGCCCTGGGGGCTTTTAAATCACCCCCGGAGCTACCAGCTGCAGAGGTGGCTGGGAGCCCCAGGGCTCAGGGGCGATTTAAAGAGCCCGAGGCTCCAGCCGCTGCTACCACAGTGGAGCTCCAGGCCCTTTAAATCACCGCCGGAGCCCTGCCACCGCTACCCCGGGGCTCCGGTGGCCGGCTTACTTTCACCTCTGCTCTCAGACTTAGTTTGTGGAAAATTACAGGCACAAGATGGAATGCAGGGTCATGTGAGCAAGTCACATGCCCTTACATGGCTTGATGACTCATAGGAGCAGCCATTACCCACATTCTGGCTAAAGCATCCACAGGAAGGCTCACCAGGTGAGGAAGAGCTTCTTCTATGGCCCATTGTGAGAGTGGAGTGTTCTTTAATGGGCCATCAACTTGAACAGTTCATTCAGAATGTGCTGGCCAGATTGGATATAAATTACCTGGTGGGTGTTATCCCAGGAGCAAATGCACTTGAAATATATATATATATATATATATATGTTCATCACTTCAGATACAAAAATGATACATGCATATAAACAGGATAATCATACTTGGCAAACCATAACTTCCATTGACACCTTACACAATATACTTTGTACAAGATGTGTTTCAATTGTCTAACCATGGCAGTATTAATGATACAAATGGTCATGTTCCAATTATACACCATCACACACAGTAATACCAGCATACAAAATAAATAGGAAGGACAGAGTAGATCATGCTGGTGGGGGAGTGGCACTATGTGAAAGAAAACATAGAGTTAAATATATTAAAAAGCTTAAATGACTCAAACTGTACCATAGAATCTTTATGAATAGAAATTCCATGCTTGAATAATAAGAGTAAAGCAGTAGGAATATGCTACCAACCACCTGACCAGGATGATGGTGATTGTGAAATGTTCAGGGAGATTAGAGAAGCTACAAAAATAGAAAACTGAATAACAATGGGGTATTTCAAATATCTCCATGTTGACTGGATATATGTCACTTCAGGCTGGGATGCAGAGATAAAATTTCTAGACACCATAAATGACTGCTTCTTGGTGCAGCTAGTCCTGGAACCCATAAAGGGAGAGGCGATTCTAGATTTAGTCCTAAATGGCTCACAGGATCTGGTCCAAGAGGTTAATATAGTTGAACAGCTAAGTAATAATGACCATAATGTAATTAAATTTAACATATGTGTGTGTGTGTGGCTAAATTAGAAGGCATGCTGCAGAACTACCAGAATTTTCAATTCTCATCTTTTCTTCCACTATTAGTATTAAAGTGGGGGCAAAACCAGTGATTCTGAATAGAGAAATAAAGTAGCCTGATTCTACTATATTCCTTTACTGAAATGTTTGACTGCTCTGTGATTAATCTTCTCTTGACCCTTTCTCCTTTCGTGCTGTCTATATGGAAAATATGCTCTAAATTTAGCAGACTGGACATGTAGATAATGAGAGAGAGAGAGTGTGTGGCATGGCTCAGGTGATTATTAAGCAGAGTATTCTCCCTCTAGATTGCTGATTCAAAAAGAGCCCAGATCAGCAGTAACTGTAAGTGTTCCACATCACGAAAAACACCCCCCCCCCCCCCCCCGCGAATTGGCATAAATTCTCAGCTGTGAAGGCAGTTTCAGCAGAGAGGCTAGCAATAAGATGGGAATGAAAACTGAATTCCTTTCCCACTCCTAGAGGTGTGGATTGAGTAAGGATTGAGACTAGAGATGGGCAAAATGCATCAGCCAAAACTTTTGAAACAAAAAATGCCAAAATGTTTTACCAATTTGTCTGTTTCTTTAAACTGCTTTTTGATCAAAAATTCAGAAAAAAAATCTACATTTTATTTTGACATTTTTTCAAAATGAAATGTTTCGATTTATCAGTTTGAAAGGATTTTATGTTTCAAATGTCCCAAAAATCTTTTAAAAGGTTGAAAATGAAACAAAATGTCTAGGTTTTGTTGAAATTAAATGTTTTATTTGACCCAAAAACAAGACTTTTTCAACTTCTTGATTTGACAAAAATTTTAATTTGGTTTTGACCTGAACCAAAATGAATTTTATTTTTTTCATAATTGCCAGCAAACCAAAAAATCCATTATTTCACACAGCTGTAGTTGAGAAGGGAGTATTAGAAAGTTTGAGCTGCTGCTGCCACCAATGGTGTACCTGTTAGGGCAATAAGAAAGACATACTAGCTTCTCTTTCTGGTATCTCCTTTCATCAACACTAATTTTTACACAGACGAGCGCACACAAATTTCAACTCGTTCTAGTCAGATGCCAACTAATAAGAATAGTACAGCAATGCGCACAGCACCATTTGTCCAACTCCCAAGGTAACTCACATCACTGCACTTTTTAAGGAAGCAACTTCAGCTTTGATTTGTTCCACTGTTTTGGGGAGGCATGTGGAATAAGGGGGGAGGGAAATGATGTTGGATGTTGTGAGCTAGCTCTTCAGGACAGGAACTTTCTTCCCCTTGTGTAGGGCCTATCACATTATCAGTCAACAACAAATAAATATTGTCACGTGTGGATTGATTATATTATTTATGTGCTGGAGCCATGAGTGTGTGATGCAGCTATTCCCAAATATGTGGCAACCAATGCCAGGAGCAACTGAAACTATCTGAAATGTTGCTTCATTTTTCCACTTGCTTCATTTTTTTCCAATTCTTTTACTTTTACCTTTGAAGTGCATTAGTTATTCTGGGCCAGCTGTCTTCAGTGGGAGTTTTGACTGAGTAAGGAATCAAAGTATGGCCCAACAGGAAAAAATGGAAGTCGTTGACATGTCTGGAACTTAGTCTTCCACTTCTAGGATTGTTCATGTAAACCGTGCATTAACCAATCATATCAATACATTTTCAGTCCCTTTCCCCCTTCTCGCCAGTGACAAGGGAGTTGGAATAGCTTAGCAAATCTTAGCAAATGACATGAAAAGATTCCATGGCACCTCATTTTTGCTGGTGCCAATACTTTATCAGCATTATGAGTATCTATAGTCACTATTCTTGCAAACCCAATGTAATCCTTTCCTTCCCCCTTGCCAGATTGAAGATATAATTACAAGAATGCAGGATGACAAAGCAGGTGGAGTTCCCATCCGAACAGTCAAGAGCTTTCTGTCTAAAATTCCCAGCGTTGTCACAGGTAAGAACCATGGTTTAAATGAAAGATTATGAATTAGTACTAAAAGGAATATGGCCCGGTTAACTCACGAAGAAGAGGCGAGGTGCTGGAGGAAGAGGAAATGAAGGGAAAAGCTGACTGATCTGCGCCTATTTTCTGGATGTGCCCTTCAGTCAAGGCATAAAAGATTATGCCAAATTGGGTCTCTTCTGTAAAGAGTAACAATTTTTAACCAAGTGATTGGATTCCCTTAGGGTGATCTCTGAAAACCTGTTAAGTGTTTATATAGCTCTAGTCTGCATCACAACATTGCCATGCAATATCCTATATTGTGACATCATACAGGAACAGGGGGATACAGGCTCCTGTTTGAGACATTAGAAATAAAGTTGGCAAATACAGCACATGATCAGCAGATAGACAAAAAGGTCAGCTAAAGTCAAGAAGCATGGAAGAGCACTGGGGAGAGCAGCTGGGAAGATGATGTGAGGAATCTGTTTCTTGTCTTCCCCAGATACTTCATTACAGTTCCTTTAGACTTTTTCTGAGAGCACAGGAGCCCCGTGGGAATATGCCCTATTACAGGGACCATTCTCGCACAATGAAGTTGTGTCACAACCTGTGGAACCAGGGGTGTCTCAGGAGCGTGGTATCGAAATATAGAGCCATTCCTTCCCAGATCTCCAGCTTGGAACTTGTCCATGGCTATTGAGACCAAAAGTCAGTGCCGTGTGATAGATACCCTCAGTGACAGATGTAAAATGAGTCAGGGGTCTCAGTGCAGTTCCCAGTGGACAGCTGCGCACCTCACAAAATCCCAAGACTACTAGTTCTAATTTTCTACTTTGTTTGCAATCCCAGCAGAGAAGATAAGGATTTGAATAAAGCATTAACCCTGAAATGCCCTCTCAGCCCTGGAGTATCTTTTTCCAGGCCAGGCTTGAAGCACATCGCTGGGACAGTTTAAGGAAGCTTTCACTGCTGCTTTACCTGTTCTGTGGATAAAGACACTTTGCTCTCTGTGGCACATTTCACTGACAATCAACTCCTTACAATGATTAGTAAAAATGCAGAAAGCCAATATCTTCTAGTAAATAGGCAGCAAAATCTACTTTGAGGAAGGTTGGATTGACCAGAGACTTGCAGGTTAGGCTGATTCAGTCAGAGGGATGAGAAGAAGCATGATTTGACATCTCTGTATCAGGAAAAAATGGCTCTTGTCCAAGTTCAGCACAGGAATGAAATACAGACCTCCAGCAATGTAGGAGTCAAGGCAAGAATATGGAAAGTGGCATGGTGTTGCTACTGATTTAGAGCTCAATCCTGCAAATACCTCTTATCAAGCAATAGGCTCTACTTCTGTGAGTAGTCCAATTGATTTCCAGGGTGTGACTCAATGTACTAAGCAGTTTGCAGAATTAAGCTAGGATTAGGTATGGAAGAGAAACATGAATCTACAATGAGATGTGAAAAGACACTAAATTGAGGCTTATGACTGGAGCATGTGTTGACCAACTGTTTTTGAAAGTGCCTAAGGACAATAACTGTTTTATCTAGTTTGAAAATTCACCCTATAAGCTCTAGTGCAGAGTACACAAACAGGACAGCTCAATCCTTATTCAGCTAAGAGAGGTTGCCCATATTCTTGTTAATATTCATTGACCTGATTAAGCAATTGATCTAGTCATCAAGCCATTAGGAGGAGGAAGAAAACAGGAGACATAACAGCGTCTCTAAGCTGATTATATTTATCTTTAAGCACCACCATGGGAGACAGCTCCCTGGTAGAGTGAAAAGTGCCCTTTTGCATTCTGCTGCTCCAGAATAGCAGCTGCAATAGTGTCACCTTGAAATTGGATCTCTTCACAGAGGAGAACTACAGTTCCAAACATATTTAGTAAAGAGGGATGGAGCGAACGGAGTCAGATAAAATAACAGAACCTAATCCAAAATTTGTGGAAACCTTTTCAGAGGAGAATGTGGGAAATGTGTTGTGTCCCTTCAGCTGACTTGAAACCTCAGCCAGTTCTTCTCAGCCAATTGTGGCTGTGACCTGGAGCTTTGGAGGTTGGACAGCGGGGAAAAACAGGTTAAATAAGGAATCTGAAGTCTCCTGCATTTATCTTCTCCTCCCCTCCCCTCTTGCAAATTGATGCTGTTTAGATTTATATCTATGATAAAAACAAAAGAAAGATTGTTTTGTCATAATACAATGCCAAATGAAGTACATTTCCTAACCCTTGATTTGCTTAATGTTCTTAGCATAAAAAGACATACTTTCAAAGCCTTTGGCGCTAAGAATAGACTTATCTGGAAAGAAGTTAATTTCTGAAATCCAGCGATGTTCTATATTTTCACAACCAATCCAATTCCACATGGAAGATGTAACAAAAATGCCAAGGCATGACTTACTGTCAGGCTGACAATAGCCATGCTGTAATACTCATGAGGCTCCTTCTTGACTGCAGCAACACAGTATATAGTACTGGCGTTTTTCTTCCCCCTTCTTCCCAGCTTTGTGTGTAAACTGTGAAGAGTGGAAATCAGAGAAAGATCAGGAGGGAAGGTGGAACAGGGAGCTGTCAGAGGAGGGTTAGAATGGAGAGCCATATGAGAAATTATGGGACTGTGACTCTGGGAGGTGAGGTTTGAGTAGAATAATGCCATTTTTTTCACTTCAACACCCATCTTTGGCCAGTGGCGATCATGTGTGTTGTGTACAGAAGGATGTGAATCTCCCATCTCCCTAAATGCCTGTTGTAGTCAGTGTCTAGAACAGCACTCACTGCAGTGGAAGAAACCACACGTTCCCCTCTCAGGTAAAGCAAATGATGCCTCCAATAGTGTTCAGTTACTGGAGTGCACATAAACTTGCAGCTCACCACTCCATGGTATTCCATTTATCAAAAAGTAGCATCAGTACACCTCCTCAGCATATTAACCACCGTTCCATTGCACCTGACTTCTACACCTCTGCCAATGCATCTCATTGTTAACCTGGTATTTCCGTACAAGGACCCCACAGCTTTCAAACACTGCTATTTTTCACACAAGGGCTCTGTGTACACCATTGCCAAAGTGATGCTGTACTGATCTGCAGCACCTATGCTATTCTGATATGGACATCCCCTTTCACCTACAGCTCTGCCAAACCTGATTCCAAATCTTCTCCATGTTGGTCCTGAGCATATTCATACCTCTGCTAATGTACCTCAAGGGTGACCTGTAGTCCAATACCTTTTAGCTATTCAATCCCCTTCTGATTCACCTTAATCTGAACCTGTAACCCAGTGGTTCTCAACCTTTCCAGAGTACTGTACCCCTTGCAGGAGTCTGATTTGTCATACCCTCCAAGTTTCACCTCACTTAAAAACTACTTGCTTACAAAATCAGACATAAAAATACAGCACACTGTTACTAAAATTTGTGTATGTTCTCATTTTTACCATATAATTATAAAATAAATCAATTGGAAAATAAATATTATACTTACATTTCAGTGTATGGTAAATAGATTAGTACAAACAAGTCATTGTAGGAAATTTTAGTTTGTGCTGACTTTGCTAGTGCTTTTTATGTAGCCTGTTGTAAAACTAGACAAATATCTAGATGAGTTGATGTGCCCCCGGAAGACCTCTACATGCCTCCAGGGGTACAAGTACCCCTGGTTGAGAAACACTGCTGTAATCCACTAACATCCTTCTGTTCTAGTACAGCAATCTTCTTCACCCAGCTCCACCAGTACACCTGATTTCTGATATACACACCTTTATTCCAGTCCTGATCCACCTAGCACTTTTATTCCTCCTTATTCTTGACCTGTAAACTGCTACATTCCTGCTTTTCCTGTCTGCTGCTCTCAAAAGGTTGCCAATTTGCTTCTCAACTGTCATATCCCTGCTGTTTCAGGCCTGGTTTTGCAAATTCCCCTCAAACTTGATCTCTACTTGCCCCAAATATTTCAGCCGTGACCCCTTACATCTCGGACATTGTTGCCAAAGGGTTTCACCCCTAACCTGCAGCTTTCCCCTGGCATTCTAATATTATGGGGAGACTGAGAACCAGGCATAGAGCAGGCAGGTGCAATACAATCTACCTCTACACAGCTCTGCCAATGCACTTCATTCTAGATTTGTAGTATCTCTTTTATTTCAGTCCTGGGCATCTCTGAACAGAAACTGCCAATTTTGTGGAAGCAGGTCTGCAGTTTTCTTGGTGTGAACAAACATTCACTTGAGACTAGTGATCTAAACTAAGCTTAAACTGCTGTATATTTCTCCTTAACAAGCCAGCATCTATCTTTTGAGAAGTGTGCGTGCAATGGTCCCAAAACAAATCAGAATGCCTCCTCTTTGATAGAGTGGCATTCAGCCAGAGGATATAAAGTCCATGTTGCTGGGAAAGAGAGAATTTATTATTAATAGTGCTCCCGATCAATGGAGCTCTGTGTTCAAATGGTCAAGTAGAACCATTTTACCACCTGCACAGACTGTGCAGGAGGATTCTCAATTTCTGTCAAAACCATTTTTCATGGCCAGGCCATTGTGGAGATGAACTCTTGAGACCACTGTGAGGATAAGGTTATAGTCTCTTTCCTCAGGAATGTGCCTTCTTCAGATTTCTTTCTCATGTGGATGCAGAAGTCAAGCACTTCAGTTAAGGGGGAAAATTGGCTCCTCTTCTGCAGTCATGAAGGTCTCCTTTGCTGTGAAAGTATGCAAGTGGGAAAGTCAGCATGGGGGGAGGCATGATACAGCAATCCATTCCTCAGCAGTACATAGAGAACAGGGCATGGGGACTGGGCATGAGGTTTCTAAGAACAGGTTAGACAAACACCTGTCTGGGGTGGTCTAGGTTTGCTTGATCCTGCCTCAGTGCAGGGGGCTGGAGGGAGGATTTCGAGATCTCTTCCAGCCCTACATTTCTATGATTCTGTGAAGTGTTGCTTTAGTTATTAGCCTGAAAGAGCCTCCACAGACTGGTTCCAAAAAGGATTCTTCTTCCCCTGTCCCCGCTGCACA